CTAGTCTTCCCGTAGTACCTGGTGATTCACTGCCTTCCGTGTTCACCATTTCGCACAGTAGTTGGTTGGTTAGTCTGTATACTATTTATTTGCAAGGGATTTCCCTACAGGCTCTTGGAGAGGGCTTGGGAGGGGGCTTTCGAGCAGAAGCTGTGGCATGTCATCCAGATCTCCCTACCACAGGAAACACGACTCCCCAGGCATCGCCTGAAATGCCAGGGCCTTCCTTTTCTCTGTTCTAGGAGTCCGAAGGATTGGGAAGGATCCAACGTCTCCACTCCTCTTAGGTATTACTTCCCCTCCCTGGTTTGAGGCTCCATAAGAGTGGTGATGGGGTGGTGGGATCTGGTACTGTAAGGGTACTAGGGACCTGAGCAGTGGCGCACTGATGAGCTGGTTTTCAGGCTCCTGACAGCAGCAGCAACTGGCTTTTCTAAGTTGGCGTTTTGCTTCCATCTTTGAGTGCAGGGTGGTAAAGGAGGCATTGATGCTGGCTTTCCATTTCCTAGCATTAGAACAGGGTCAGACCCACCCAGGAAAAGAATTTCCCCAACCCCTTCCCTTCAAGCTGATTTTGAGGTCAGAATCCGGAAAGAGACAGAGGCTGGTTGAGGACACAGGTGGAGGGATGGAGGCAGCCCGAGCTAAGCGCTGAGGGACCACTCTGGGGATCCTTTTTGATGAAAATTCTGGGGCCTTCACAGACTGGTGGGCAGGCCTATTCCTGCCCCAGGTTTCTGGGCATATGACAGGCGGGGAGGCTGGGGCAGAGGCTGGGGTCCACATGGGTCTGTCTGCCAGTGGAACTGCAGAGTCCTGTGGCAGGCACAGACAGACAGAGAGAAACAGGGGTAGAGGCTGGGCAGGGAGGTGTAGGCGCTGAGCAGGCCTCCCTTTCTGAGGCAGGAAGAACCGGCTGGCTCGGTGCAGGACGCTCCCCAGTCTCCATTTCCTAGATCAGGGCAGGCATTGGGCTTCCTCTTCAGCTCTCCAAGATCTCAAGGAGCTGCCGCGGAATCCTGGCCGTGGGCCGCAGTTTCTCCAGGAGGCTCTGCCAAGCCTGGCACCTTCCAGCCAGGCCTGGGCTCAGTCAAGGCCTGAGCCGGACTCGGCCCCGACTCAGAGGCCGACCCAGCACCTCCCCGCCGCCTCCGCCCCGCACCAGGCCGCCGGGCTTCCTCCCTGGTCTTCACCCCTGACCTCCGCGGCCGACTCCCGAGGCGAGCCAGGCCGGGTCCAGCGCCCGCGGCCCCCTCGGCCAGACAAGGAGGGCGGGTGAGCAGAGGGGCCGCGCCCAGACCAGTCGGTGCCCAGGTCGCCCTGAGCGTGCCCGGGCCTAGAGGTGCGAGGCCGCGTGGTGGGCATGGTCGGGAAGCAGAGCGTGTGCCTGGGAGGCGCGTGTGCGCCTCGACCTCGAGACCCGGGCTCCCAAACGAACTGCGCGTACGGCTGGGAGCTGGGCTCGGGGAGCCCGCGGCCGGGGGTCGGTGGAGGCCGCTGCCTGGAATCGGGCGCCGGCAGCGGGGCCAAGCCAGGCCGTGGAGCTCCCCATTCTTCGGGCACGGCGGGGCCGGGCGAGCCCTCCTGGTTGCCGAGCCACAGCTGAGAGCCGCGCGGCTGCTGGTCCTCGCTTGCCGCCGCTCTAATCTAAACCATGCCGGGCTCCCAGCCCCTACCCGGGCCCCGGGGCCCGAGGGCCAAGGGGAGGGCACTGGGCCGCGCGGTGGAGGCGCCGGCGGCTCGCGTAGGGCTCGGGGTCCCCGGGACCACGACGCCGGGGAACCCTGGAGCCCCCCTCCCTGGGGGACAGCGGGCGCGGGCTGATTGACGGCGGCGACGTCAGCGCGGAGGGGGGAGCAGCCCCGGAGGGAGGGAGGGAGGAGGAGGAGGGAGCTGAGGCCCCAAAGTGCAGCCTAGGAGATCAAGGGCCCGCTCCAGAGCCGGGATGTGTCCAGCCCCGAGGGCACGGCGGGCAGCGGGACCCTGACCCAGCGCCACGGAGTCGGAGGCCCGGCCGGCCGGCCCTCGCTCCTCGGACCCGAGTCTGCAGGGGACCTCGGGCCGTTGTTGCCTCCGCATGCGGCACCGCAATTAGGGTGAGTGTCGGTTCCAGCCGAGTGGGGACCAGCTGGGTGTGCGGGGCTGGGGCCACAGGGGTTCAGGGTTAGGCTGCAGGGTCGGGGAGGATGAGCTGGAAAGGGGTGAGTAACGCGACCTGGGGAAGAACTTCGGGGGCGGTCAAGGTTGCAGGAAGGCGGCGCGAAGTGCCTTCGGTCGGGTTGCCGCCTCGGCCGGACACCCGTAGTTGGGGCACAAGCCCTTCTCTTTGAGTAACGCGACGAATTGGGTCTAGGGACCCAAGAGTCTAGAAAGGGTAGCGCCAGCACCCTAAGAACAGGGCTAAGCCGTGACAGGCGGAGAGGTGCCCTGGAAATTGGTGTTTGCAGAATGAATATGCAAGGCCAAGAAAGAGGGCCGGGTACTGAAGCGAAAATCCGTGTAGAAATGTGTGATCAGAACATTGGACTCAGAGCCTTTGATGCAACAAGATAGTCAAAATTAAAACAAGGAGCATTATATATAAATAATGGTCTATGATTAAAGATTATGAGAATGTGAGCAATTACCAAAGAAAGGGCCAATGGCATAACTGATATACACGTGAACTTTCAAATAATAAAATCATAGTCACTTTCAGAATCAAGTGAAAATAGTAATCACAGTTTTAAAAGGATTAAAGACAAAGTAATTCTAAATAGAGGAACAATTTAAGGACTGTTGTATTAAAACCAATAGCATTAATACAACACATAGTAATAGTGTAACAAATTACTGAAATGTAGGAAACTAAAAAACTATAGGAGAAAGATGAACAATGAAAATACTATTAAGGGAAATACTATTAGTGGTAGTAATAGAATAATATAATGTATTATTGATACTATAGTGAACTATTAAAACAAGTATTAACTAAAATCTTAGTAATATATAGTATACAGTAATATAAATAAAGGCATATTAACGAGAATTGCTGGAGTAATATGACAATTTATGACCAATGTATGAATAGTCACAAGAACATTATAAATAATGGTTGATTAATAAGAAGTATTGTACCAATGTGATGAAAAATAATCAGAGTATTAAGAGCTACAGCAATATTGCAAAGTATGGCAAAATAACAAGAGGTAATGATGTGATGAAAAATAACCAGCAAATTAAGATCTGTAACATTACAAATAATTACAAAGTAACAAGATATTGTCAGGGTGTGTGGAAAAAATAATACCTGGAGCGTTATGAGCAAGCCTAACAAAACAAATTGTGGTTAGATAACAAAAAGTATTATAAAGACGTGAAGAAAATTAACATGAATTTTGAGAACAATTATATGACAACTTACAGTAAACAAGAAGTTATTGAAACAGCGTGACAAAGTATAAACCAAATGAAGAGCAAGCAGCAGAAACGTATTAGGGATACAACGCAAAAATAAAAAATAATAATAGATTAACCGTGACCTATTGGAACACTACGTCACCTCGATATTGGTGATAGTATTATAAATGTGCCAGGCGGCCCTGAAATGAGGGAGCAGTGACAGGAAAACAACAAATGTAATAACGGTAAACTAACGAATCAAACCAGGGCTTTAACACGCAGTATTAAAAATACAAAGTAGTCATAATCCACGAGGTAGGATATTCTCAACATTCCCAAATTGACCAAAATACTACTCTGATAATAAGGACAATTAAAATATTTAAAAACTGTATGAAGTAATAACAATTCCCCCAGTGCAAGACACATATCACTAGTAACCTAACAGTGAAAAGAAAAAGCCTGTCCTCTTTGCAAAACGAGGCGGCTGAAAGCAATGGACCCCATCGCAAAGGGAGCGGAGGCTGCGGGCCGCGCCAGCCACGGAGTGGACGTGAAGGATGAGCGCGGACCGCGGCCAGGGCTGAGTGCGGGATCCCGCGGTGCCGGCGTCTGAACGCGCCCAAGCTCGAGGTCTGAGAGGACCGCGGGGACGGCCGCAGGGCTGGAAAAAAATGAAATTGATGGGGAGCTTCGGAGGGGGCAAGCTGTGGCGAGGTCAGGAAGTGGCTTCGTGGCCGAGAGAAAAGGAAGAGGCAAACCCGGAGCCGGGGAAAGAGCGCCGCGCAGGCCTCGTCCCCAGTCCGAGCTGCGGGACCTGCGTCGGTGGACAGGGGCCGTGAAGGAGCTCCTCACGGGGCAGCACCGAACACGTAGGACTGAGAGCGCAGGGCACGAGCCGCAGAGCTCCCCTGCACGGCTCCGGGTGTGACGAGAGCTCCACAGAGGACCCCGTGACCATGCGGGCCATCCGCGAGACGCCTCCGACTCGCATCCCGCAAGCCGCCACACGTGGGACCAGCCGGTCGATCGATCGCTAGCGCCAATCCCGCTGGGGCCCCAGACATAGTCGGACCCAGCGCGCTGGCCCGAGCAGGCAGCTACCTGACTAAGGCAGCGGCCTCCTGTGCAGGGACTCCTGCGTTTCAGAGGCTCGGCGCCCCCGCTCACACGTGCCGGAGGCGGGTGCTGGCGCTGACCGTGTCCACCTAGTCTCACTCCCTGCGGCTGTAGCCGAATACCGGCCCGCCTGTCAGCCTTATCTTTATGGGTTTTTCCCAACCCGGACTGGCCCCGGCCCCTTTTTATCTCCTCGGTTGCACTTGGCTTGTTTACTTTGCGAGGCCCTGGGAGTCGAAGTCTAGGCCGGGGATGCGGAGGCCTCGGAACAGAATGGGCGAGAGGCCTGAGCCCGGGGATGCTCCCAGAGGGCCCGGGGAGAACGCGAAGAAGGTAGGATAAGAAAGGCAGAAAGGCGGGGCATTCGGCCCCAAGAGGGGCCCTCAGACCTGCAGAAAGCCCCACTGGAGCGCCCAGGTCCGGCAGGATGGGGAAGAGCGGGAGGTGGAAAGAGGCAGCGGAGGGAGCGGGCACGCCCCTGAGGGATGCGGGCAGGTGGGTCTCTCAGGCTGGGCTCTCATCTGGATGCCCCAGGACCTGCTTCGGGCAGGGGGCAGACACCTGGGTAGGCGAGTGAATCGGCCAAGGCACCCGGAGAAATGTGGCTGTCCCAGGCAGGGCTAAGTGGCTCCTGTGAATGGGCCCAGCCTACTGGCCTGGTCCTTGGCTGGGAAGGGTGTGGGTCTTTAGGCCCAAAACAGAGCCCTGTGGCGCTAAAGTGTGCCCGAGTGAGCTGGTGGTGCGAACGCCAGCGTCAGGCAGGGAGGCCCTGGCCAAGGGCAGGGTCTGGATCAGTCACCCAGGAGAGTGTGGCTGCTCAGGCGAATGGGATGCTGTGTGAGGGGCTGTGTTTGGGTGTGAGGATGTTTGTGCTAGAATGGGAAGAGGGTGTCTGTGGACGACGAGTGTGCTGGAGTGAAACCTTTGGTTCAGGAAGTCTCTGCCTCAGTGCTGTCTGAGAGGTTGGGTGAGGGCAGATGGGTGAGGTGAGCCTGAGAGGCCGCCCAGCCCGAGGCCCTCTCTGCACACAGGTATGGAGCTGCAGAAGCCTGGCTCTCCTTTCCTACATGGCCAGGAAGTGTCCTGGCTGTCCTGGGACCCACAGAGAGACCTGGACCTCAGTTATTGGGGAACAGCCGAGGAGACCCAGGCCTCAGGCTCCACCTGAGCCCAGTAGGAGGGAGGGACTCGGGGTGCAGCTGGGGCAATGCCGAGAGGGCGGTCCCTCCTCCAGACCTACTCATCACAGAACCCCACACCCAGGGGCAGGCAAACACTGGACTGGCGCAGACCCTCCCAGGTCCACAGCCCGAAGGGAGGAGGCGAGGGACCTGCCCTCCATGCAGGCTCCCTCCTCCAGCTCAGGAGGGGGCGGGGTCCACGTGTGCCAGGGCAGCCTCAGCGCCCCGCACGAAGCCCCTGGAACAGCTGGAGAGGGCCACGGGGCCTCTGGTGAGCGTGGACCTGAGCGAGTGACTCGTTGTGTGCTGTACCCGCAGGAGATGCTGCAGGATAAAGGCCTGTCCGAGAGCGAGGAGGCCTTCCGGGCCCCGGGCCCAGCGCTCGGCGAGGCCAGTGCCGCCAACGTCCCCGAGCCCGCGCTGGCAGCACCGGGTCTCAGCGGAGCCGCGCTAGGCAGCCCCCCAGGCCCCGGGGCCGACGTCGCCGCCGCCACCGCGGAGCAGGTAGGGCTGCGCCAGCCGTCGGGTAAAAGTCGGGCATCGGTCTGCCTGCGGCGGGGCCGCCTGTGTCGGTCATTCTGTCTGATTGTCGGCAGGACGCGCTTTCGTAGGAACCTGGGTGGGTTCAGGACGGTCTGCCTATTCCTTCTCCACTGGGCAGGGCTCGCTCTCTGCCTTCTGGGTCCTTCTCCACTTTGAGCCCTCGGGGCTACTCTGGAACGAGCTAGAGATAGAGACAGAGATAGATGAGAGAGGGAGTAAGAGAGAGGGAGACCCCCGGAGCACCGGAGCCAGCCAGGACCAAGTGTCCAGCCCCAACAACCCGGAAAGGGCCTGGGACTGAGCGGAGGGCAGCAGGAAGCGACCCCGCAGATGCGCAGAGGAGCCGCTGTGGGGCTCCGAGGTCTCTCGGACATCGCCGAGGGACTTCACAGTGAAAATCGGACGATCACAGCGTGCGGGATGCCGCCTGGGCATCTATGTGCACTATCTGCAGGCGTGAGCCTGGCCGAGGGTGCGTGCGCCTCTCCCTGTCTGTGTCTGCCCTTCGAGCCTGTGGCGGTGGCCCGCCACGGAAATGTTCATGAGTGTGCAGGAGTGTCGTCTAACCTGTGCTGGCCACTATGTGTCCTCTGCGGGTCCCTCCGTAGGTGCATCTTCAAAGGAGGGTGTTTTAGCCACCGGCTGATTATTTTAAATTCACGAATAGTTCAAAATCATTCGATGAAAGGAAAGCTGGAGGCGTGAGCTCCGGGCGGGTAGGGGTCCGCACAGCTTTTCGGGTCTGGTTCTTCTTTCCTCAGGCTCCGCGTGGAGCCCTGGGCCAGGCAGACACGAGTCCCTCTCCCTCCCATCCCCAGACCATCGAGAACATCAAGGTGGGGCTGCATGAGAAGGAACTCTGGAAGAAGTTCCACGAGGCGGGCACCGAGATGATCATCACCAAGGCGGGCAGGTCAGCGCTGGGAGATTTACTTCCGGGGATGGCGGTGGGGAGCAACGAGGGCCAGGGGGTCCCTTAGAAGTCCTCTTGGGCCCGGCCTGGTGGCCTGTGGGAGTCCTCTCTGCCTCCTCCGGCCTCAGTGCCACCTCCCTCCGCAGCTGGGGACTGGGCCGCCAAAGCCCACTGGGGGCCACCGCAGCCGCGCGGGCCTTGCGGTGGAAGACCCAGGGGAGGGGCAGCGCTATGCAAATGAATGCAAACAGGATCGCGAAGCCCAAAGTCCCAGTTGCAGCACTTTGGCCCCCTGGGGGGCTGCTTTGTCCTCCTCTCTTCGAGGACCTGCGAAGGTTTCTTGGGAATGCATTGATTGGGGACCCTGAGATGCCTATCAGTAGATGGGGAGAGGAAACTGGACTTTGCTGTTCAGTATTCATACATTTTCGTGAGTGACTGGAACCCCAAGCTTGTCATCTCAGGGGCACAACTCTTCCGTTTCCATCCGCGTCTCTGGCCAAAGGGAAAGCACCACTTCGGGCTACGCATGTGTTGCTGGGAGAGCGGTTCTCGGTGGCTGCCAGAGAAGGATGATTTATAAAGTGGAAACATCTTTAAAATGCGCTGGTGTCTGTGGGAGAGAACAGGGAGGAGAGGATGAGAGGAGGCATATTCACAGGCGGGGGAGTGAGAGATTCAGTGGAGCGGGTGTCTGGGGTGGGGGCAGGTGTGTGGAGGAGAGCAGTTGTCAGGTGAAGGCGGATTGCTGTAGACAGAGACGCTGGCAAGTTCAGGTTCAGGAACTCCCTCCCCACCCACTCTGCCCCTTCCACATACACACACTTGATTTCGGTCCCTGGGGACAGATTAGGTGTGAAAATGTCCCTTTGCCTGGATGTGTCTCATAATTGGGATTTCGAAGGAATAAGATGATGAAGCCTCAAGGGCCAGGAGTTTGGAGCCAGACCCTGGCGGGTGGGGGGTCCAGTTCCAACTCAGCTACTTTCATCTGTGCAACCTCAGACAACGTACTAACGAGTCTCTGCCCCCTCCCCACTCCATCTGTAAAAGAACAGGTCTTGCCTCATACATTGTATGTAAAGCACTGAGTTCCTGTCACATGCGAGCACTCAAGAAGTGCTAGTGAATAATATGGGCAATAATTAGAGACGTGTCTGGCATCCTGCTCAGCATTTTCTTCTACGTTTTAGAGAACTTAGCTCTGCTGAACCGCTTAGGGAATGATAGACTATTCAAAGGAAACACAAAGCAGGTTGGTTTGCTGTGTGCAGTGTAGGGGTGCTGTGGTCCTTCCTGTCTCTGCTCACTGGCAGGCCTTATAAAGTTTTATTTTGTTGAGGGTAGAGGTCTGGGTGCTTGGCCACCCTCAGGTCTTAGCCAGGGAGGTGGCATCACCACTCGGGGGTCTATCAGGGGAGGAAGTAGGTTTACTTTAGGGCCTGAGCTTGCTGCATTTTGGGGATGGAGATAGGGAAGGAGGATGCATTAGGGGGCTGGCAGAGGGTGCCACATGGAGCCATCATTGGGGACAGTGGAAGCCAGGTGTCACAAGCCCTGCCTCTTCCTGGCTGGGTGCACTTGGGCAAGTTACAGTCTCTTTGTAGCTCAGTGGTGTCAGGGAAATGGTGACTGAAGACCTATCTACTGTCCTTTCCTTTTCTATTACTGTGAGACTCAAACCAGGGAATCATGTGGATGACGCCTGGTAAATGGGTAATCCACAGGGTCAAGTGTGAAGGGGAATGGGGCTCATTCTTGTGCCTGCTGATGTGGAGAGAAGGTAAGAAGAAAGAGAAAGGTTCAGAACTTCCATTTTTAGGCAGCAGAAGTAACTTTGTCTCTTGAAAATAATTGGCCAGCATGTTCTCTGTGCATGCCTGGCCTCTGCCATTTTAAACAAAGGGCATGTTGTGGTTTTCCTCAGTGGGGTTTCCTTTGTCTGTGTGGGTCCTTCTTCTCCTCTTCCAACACATACACTTATGCACACACTTCCAGAGGTGGCCAGCCTCAGGCAGATGTTTGTGCTTGATCTCCGTTGAGGCTTAGAGATGGACCTTAGGGAATGATAGTAATTTTTAAATGGCTGTGATAATGTTGGCCAATTATGGAGCCATCACAGCCTTTCCCTTGTCTGTTAGAAAGTTGTCCTTGCACCGAGTCTAGTTCTTAAGGAAATCACTAGCCTCATGCCCCCAACCCCTCACCCCTCACAGACGCCCTTTCCTCCTTCATAGCTGCCCCCACCTTCAGCAATCACTTTATTGCTCTGATCTGCTTTACTCTGGCTGTGGTTCCTCAATATCCTGTCCAGTGGCTCTCCCTGCTCCCCAAATTCTGTGTGCCTCTACTGGAACCCTTCTTGGGACATTTCCATTTCTTAGTCTCGGCCTTTTCTGCTAAACCTGGAATCATAGCTTCCTAGATGGCTAGAGCTGGAGGCAAACCAAGAGAACGTAAACCAAACCCCAGAGAAGCAAAGTTAGTCAGTTGCCAGGTCCACACAGGCAAAACAGATGAGGCGCCCCACCTCCAGAACACAGCTCCTACTTTGATAAGTTCCCTTGATTGCTTTTTTATGGGGTCCTATTCAGTGTGGATTGTGGCTCTGCTGTAGAGACCCTGGCTGATTAGGGACATGATAACTGCCATCAGGCTGGGCAGGAGCGGGGCCTGGAGAAGCGGGGCCAGAATGTTCTCAAGCCAGGTTGGGTTCTTGGGTCACAGGCTTCCTTACTACCTTAGCCCTTTGGGTCCTTGAGAGTCTTGAAGGTCAACGGAGAGGACCCCTTTCACTGAATAGTGACTTTGAACTGCCAATCAATTTGGGCTGGTGGATAAAATGCCAGTCACCGTGTGAGCCACCAGTTTCTGAATCCTCAGCAACCTCCATGTCAGGTGCAAAATGGGGGCCACAGCCCTCTTCAGCCCATCTCAGCCTCTCAGTTCTCTGTAAAAAGTTCATGCTGATAACGGCAGACAGCAGATCCCTCTCTTGGCCTCCTCACATCCCTGCCAAGCTTGATCCATGTGAGAAATTGCATTTTCTCCCAAACATAGATAAAAGTGAGCGCCACAAAAAAATTAAATATAAACCTCCCCAAAATGAAAATTGCCTAACTGTCTCACTGCCCTTCTCCTAGGTCATGGTTTTGCCACCAGATAAATCTCCACTATCAGCCTTCATAGCCTGTTGAGTTCAATGTTGCTTGTGTTAGTGACAGTGAATTTGCGTTTGAAAAATGAACTACCGATGAGAACTCCTGTTGAACCTGTATTGTTTGTTATTCTGAGGCAAGGATTTGGCCCGGCTTAATCCGGGGCTTCAAAGCCAATTGCCCTCACTCTGTATACAGAGCGTCAGAGCCCAGTGGCGTGGATGATAAGAGAAGTAAGGGTTGAAGACACTGGGAAAGTGGGCTGGGGAGAGAGTGCTTTGATCTCTTTTTAAAGTATTTTCTGAAAGTAAAAGTCTATCAGAAGGAAGTGCCTTAAAAAAAAATCTAAGAGAAGCAACTGATCTTCCAAAAAAACATCCATTCCACACACTCACCCCTCCTCCCTAAGGGAAAATATTTCTTAAATATGCTTTGGGTGAATTAGAAAACTATGTGTGTATGCCTCTGTGCATGTGCGTGAAACATGGAAATTGATTTAGTAGCTTCAAAATCAGAACTCATTTGGCTACAAAAGGCTCAGTCTTAGTGTAGGTGGCACCAGCAGCCCCACTTCTAACCCCAGGCTTGGATGTTGGGCCCCAGCCTCTTCCCAGCACACCCAGGATTCCTCCTGAAGACACCCCCATTTCCCCCGACATAAGGGTTGGAGAAACAGAGTTTTCAGGGGACCCCTGCCGTTTTCCTGTTGTTGGTTCTTTTCAGGCTCTGGGATCCAAAAATTAAATACGTGTACACACATATACACATGGGAGGGTGGTGTACACACACATACATAATTTTTAACCTAAATGTATTGCAGTGGAACATTCCTACAGAAAAGCCCACGCATCTTAAGGGTGCAGCTCTACAGGCTTGCACAAAATGAACACACTCGGGTAACCTTCATCCAGATAAAGAAATAGATCACCACCACCACCGCCCCAGAATCCTTCCTGTGTGCCTGCCAGTCAGTGCCGTTCCCACCCTCCAAACCGCTCTCTAGACTGCTGACCCCTTCCGGCTGGTGTTCCCCCTTCATTGAGGGAGGGTCCGTGTAGCTCTTCCTGGAGTCCCCAGGGACCTCCGAGAAAAGCGGAGCTGCGGTGGGGTTGGGGCTTGGGGAACCCTCTAGGTGGAGAGAATCTAGGGGTGCCCCCTAGTCTCTGTCCCTCTTCCCAGAAGGAGGCTGCGAGTAAGTCAGCGCCTTGAATCTGGCCACAGCTTTGGCCAGGGAGCTCCCGCGGGTCTCCAAGCGCAGCTAGCTGGAATTGGGTGTCCCCGCTCAGCAATGAGTTCGCAGTTACGGGTTTGTTGCCAGAATAAAAAAGCCCCAAACCCTTGCCCCGCGCCCCGCGCGCCTCCAACACCAAGAAACGTCCGAGGAAGCTTATCTTAGCAGTTCATTCTAAAGCCATTTCCGAGTATGAATAGATAAAGGCTCCAGCCCCGCACCCTTTCGGAGCCTGTTTCTTGATCAGAGGAGAAGCCCCGGGCTTTCATCTCCTCCCGGGCCGGCGAACAGGCGGCTTGTTTATTCCCCTGGCGGAGCCGTTTCCGCGTGTGGGTTGGGGGGAGTCCCCGCCTGTCTGGGGGCTCGGGAGCCCAACGGGGCGCGGGGAACTGGGGGAGCATGGAGAGGGCGCGTGGGGCGCAGAGGGAAGGTGAGGGGCACGTGGAAGAGGTGCCGAGGGGATAGGGAGAGGGAGGGGCCGGAGGACGAGGTGGGAGCCGGGAGAGAGTGGGGAGGGGGGCGCAGGGAGAAGGTGCAGGGAGGGGAGCAAGGGAGAGCGCCCCGGGGGAGGGCTCGCTGGGGCGGGCCCAGAGGTAGACTGCCGACTGCCGGAACAGGCAAGCTTCCCCGACAGCGACAGCGCTGGTGGCAGGGCCTGCGCGGATACAGGGGCACCCCGCCACCCCAACACACACACGCAGGAGGCGTTGCTTTCCACCGTAGGGTGTTGGTTTTCAGGTACATTCTACGTCATAAATCACAGAAAAAATTTACATCTCACTCCATCATTTCAAACCTTTCATTAGAGAGGCAGAGCCCAGAGGAAGTCACAGCTCCCAAACCCAGCCTGGCCTCTGCCGCCTGAGGCACACGACGCTGGTGAACACCCCCAAGTCAGGCGTCTAGGCACCAACTTTAGCCTCTTCAGGAACCCAAGGGTAGATACCCATGGGGCCTTGACTTCTCCCCTCCACCGGGGCAGGAGGCTGGTGGAGGTGGGAGAGGGGGCCTCACCTTCACAGGCAGCCCTTCCCCAACCCTGGGTGGACTCTTCCCCCTTCTGGAGTCACCTAGGCAGGGAAACGATGGTGCCTAGGGCCTCCCCACCCCACCCCAGAGGGTGATCTGCATGACTCAGAAGCAGTCCCCGAACTGGACCCTGCCAAGACCTAGACATCTGTTCCATTGAAGGCAATGGGCCTCCCTGAGCCAGTTCAGCCTGAGCAGAGGGCTTTTGAATTCCCCGTTTAGACCAGACATCCCACCGTCCCTCGCTGCTGCCCTAGGCAGAGCAAAATCGGTGGGCAAGGGAGGCGAGGCTGGGAGATACTCGCCTTCCCTGCGCCATTGCTCACATCTCCCTGAGGCTGTCATCAGCCGGGAATCTGGCCTATGATCAGCTTCCAGGAGGGACCAGGTCCCAAGACACCAGTGGGGGGGATGCAGAGCACTGGCTCCTCAAAGGCCTTCCAGAAAGCACTTAGTGTCAGCCTGGCTTCCTGGGCTGCAGAGATGAAGCCCAGCAGTGAGAAAGAGAAGGGGAAGGCCAGAGCCCCTTAGCCCCCCTCAGCCTAGGCTATGCCTGCCAAAGTAGCAGTGAGCCCTCTGCTCCTGGCCCCCTGTGTGGACACCGGCCCCGAAGGGAAGCCTTGGCTGCAGTCTGCTGTTGCCACCTGGAATGATTACAGCAGACAAGCTGAGTGCAGGCCCCCGGTGCCAGGCCAGCCCAAGCATGGTCAGGGCTGCCCCATTTTGTGGCTGTTTCTGTGGCAGTTACAAAATGGTGGCCTGGAGGGGGCAGGATTCTTGGCCTTCCCCCAGGGAAGGGGGAGGCGAGGCAGCTGCTGCCCTTCCTGCCTCAGCTGTAGGCCCACCAGGAGAGAAGCAAGGCCAGCAAAGGGTGGTGTAGCCTCCAGCTGCGCCCCCAGGCCCCATAGAGGAGCTGGTAAGCAGGATGCAGGGTTGGGTTCCTGAGCCCCTTACTTCCCCCATTCCTGGAGAGGGGGCGGGGTGGACATTTGAAAATGCTTTCAATTGACATCTGAGACAAATTCTTCCACACGGTTTATAAGTCCCTAGACTTGCAGCTAGAACTTCCCTCCTCCCTCCAGGCACGCACACATCCACACATGCGCACTTGCACACCCACTCACATGCTCCCGGGCACACCGTCCCCCATCCCCATGTCCCCAGCCTACAGTGCTTGCACAGGCCTCTCCTCCAGCAATAGGGGGCACAGATGGAGCTGGCATGGAAGTGAACCCTCCACCTCGGTCGGGGTCCTGGCCTGGGCTTAGAACCTGCCAGCTTATAGAGGCCTTGACCCTTTCCAGAAGCCCTGTCCTGTCCAGGTACACCTGGTGACAAGCTAGGGGCCTCTGAGCATCTGTTTTTGGCATCTTGGACAGCTTCTCCTGGAGCCCATACTGTCTTGGGTTAGTGAGAGGCAGAGAGCCACCTGACGGCTTCCCCAGAGTGGACCTGCTGGGCAGTGCACAGCACAGCTCAGGGGGGCTTAGTGTCTTCATAAAGTGTGCTCAGCTAGGTTTGGATCCTGCTTCTCTTGGGGGACACCTTTGTGGAAAATCAGCCAGAGGCGGGGGATGGTGTCTGAGGAGGATGGTGAGAAGTTCTGTTCTTCTCTCTGGTGAAGTCAGGGACCTGCTGACCAGAGGAGGGAGCAGTTTGGGTTTGTGTACCTGCCTTGCTGTTGTGTGTGTGTGTGTGTGTGTGTGTGTGTGTGTGTGTGTGTGTTTGTGTGTGTGTGCTGAGGAGTGTGGGGAAGCCCCCTCTAGAATGTGCCCTGAACCTCAGAGTCCTGGACAGCCTCAGCATGGGCTGCAGAAACGGCAAACTTCCTGGGTTTTGGTGAATCCATTTTTGTAGCAGTAGGTCATACCACTTCTCCGTTTACTTTGCTGAGGCTGGAGTGCAGCAGGGGTCTGTGGTCATTCACACAGCAATCTATGAGACTGGTGGTCATGCTGTCCTCATTTTAGAGATAAGGAAACCAAGGCACAGAGAGGTTCAAGCAAGTCCCCTAAGGCTTGTCAGTTGGGGGCCAAGCTGTGGACCATGGCAGGTGGCTTTAGAATCTATGCGCTCTCTTATCCATGAGGCTCCTGGACCGACTTTCCCCTGGTACTCAAGGTGTGCAGGTCCGGGTGAGGTATTCACAGGGAAAAAGCTCCCCTGCTGGTCACACCGGAAGAGCCCAAGCCTAGCACGGTTTTGACAGCAGTCTCTCCTTTTCCTGTGAGTTGGCTTAAGGCCTAAGGATTTCCACAGAGGCCTGACCCAGAGGAGGCAGCTCATTGCTTATGGAAGCAGCCGATGGGGGTGTCCGGCCCCCTATAATTGCACCCCAGAACTTCAGTTGTGTCTGGGCTGGCAAAGGACAGGAGGGAAATTAAGGCAGCCAGGTTGGCGTCAGAACCTGCTCCCACAGTCCTGACTGGGGTCTGTGGGCTTCAGCTGTTCAAGGCACTAGCCCCAAGTCTTAGGGGATTATGGGGGAGACAATCAGTGAATTTGGAAAATGGTGTAAATTCTCCTCCTAGACACAGACCGATAGCTGCAAGGTTCAGAGACAGTAGCCAGTGGTACCTGTTCCCTGGGCAGTGCAGGCAGCGGGGGAGTGAGCTGTGCAGGTCACACAGCTGTGACCAATGTTAGGGTCGCTGGCCAAAAGGGCAGTACCTATTGGTGACCTTTTGCCCCTTCGCTCACTCTGTTCCATCTCTCCTGGTGCTCGGTCCATGCTCCGCCTCACTCCCTGGCTCCCCCAGGAGGATGTTCCCCAGCTACAAGGTGAAAGTCACGGGCATGAACCCCAAGACCAAGTACATCCTGCTGATTGACATCGTCCCCGCCGATGACCATCGCTACAAGTTCTGTGACAACAAATGGTAAGCGGACCATCACCATGTGGCCCACCTTCCCTCGTCCACCCGCTGGCCGCACGCCCCCACCTGGTGTTTGGTCCGGGGAATTTCCTGGCTACCTGAGTGAGTGCCCAGATCTGCACTGGAGTCCACTGCCTGGCACTGGCCCTGCCGAGGCTGAGGTGGTCAGGAATGTCTGCACGCCTGCTGCAGCTGGGGCTGGGGTTGGGCTGAAAACCAGCTGCATGTTTGGGAGTTTGGTGGATTGCAAGGGTCTCTACTTTCCTCATGGCCATGGACAGTCAGGACTTGGTGACCTGACTGTTAGGTGACAGACAAATTGTGAACACTGGCCAGATTTAGACTCCATCAGTGCTTCACTGGGGGGAAGCTGGGAGCCGTTCTCTTGGGGACATTAGGAGCAGGGCCATTACCTGGTGTCTGTTGCTCCGTGTCCTCCTTGGCCTCAGGCCCCTCCAGCCATCCACCAAGTGAAGCTTTGCCAGGGGGCTGGTGGATAGGACACTTTGGTGAGAGGCTGAGAGACAGAGAGAGGTGAAGGGACAAAATCAAACTGGGGACAGGTCAATAAATTCTGGGCTACCTTTCATGAGGCCAACTCCTTAGTCCCTGACTGGCCGGGAGCTTGGAACAGCGCTCCAGAAACGTGTAGCTGGCCAGGATGCTGGGCTCCGTGGCTAGCGGGCCACAGAGCTGGAGAGATTGGGCTGAGGAGGCGGGGTTTGGTGGCCATGTCCTGGCAAGGGCCACGCTTCTGTTTCTTCTCTCTCTGGGCTAGATTAGAATTCAGAGCAGACTCTGGCTGAGGGGAGAGCTACCAATTGATTTCTTACCATTATTTTGGGGACAAGCCATTTGGGAGTTGTCTAGATCCTCTGAGAAGCTCCCTCTAAATAATATAATTTATAACATGTGACAATCATAATCATACCAGGTGTGGTGGCTCATGTCTGTAATCCCAGCTACTCTGGAGGCAGAGGCAGGAGGATGACTTGAAGGTCAGGAGTTTGAGACCAGCCTAGGCAATACAGTGAGATCTCTGTGTCTATAAAAAATGGAAAAAGTTAACTGCACATGCTACTTGGGAGGCTGAGGCAGAAGGATTGCTTGAGCCCAGGAACTGGAGGCTGCAGGGAGCTATGATCATACCACTAGCATGGGTGACAGAGTGAGAACCTGTCTCTTAAAAAGAAAAAAATTTTTAATCGTAAGTGTAAATTTACACAGAAGTGCCTAAATCTCCGCACATTATCTTTGTGATTAGCCCCAGTCCTTCGAATAAATGACCCCATTTCCCAGTAACCTCCTTTTTTTCCCTACTGCAGTAAAATAAACAAGATTCAGAACTGCTTTCTCTTTCACAGCACTCTCTACTCTGTCCCTCATTCCGACCCCTGAAGTCCTAATTTGACAATGTGGTAGGACCAGCAGCTATTTTTTTCTCTGGTCAATGGGGTTTGCTCCAAGAGGGGACAGGGAATCTGGCCTCACCAGCCCCTGGGGTAATTGCCAGCTCTTATCTGCTCTGTTGGCAGGATGGTGGCAGGGAAGGCTGAGCCGGCCATGCCAGGAAGGCTGTATGTCCACCCAGATTCTCCTGCCACGGGGGCCCACTGGATGCGGCAGCTGGTCTCCTTCCAGAAGCTGAAGCTGACAAACAACCACCTGGACCCCTTTGGCCATGTAAGGATGGGGGCTTCCTGGCCTCGGGAGGCAAGTCTGGGGCAGTATGAGGGATAAGACAGGCCAGGATGGGGATGGGGAGAATCCACTCTGGGATCCAGCTCCAGGCTTTGGCATTTGCTGACCAGCTTAGGGAAGAAGCTCAAGCCTCTGAGTCCTGCAGAGAGCTGGACTTCCGGCCACTTACTGGCTGGGTAACTCTGGGCAATTGTCTCAGCCTTTTTGAACCCCGCTTTCCTTGTCTAGAAAATGGAGATGACCATATGTACCTTTCATGTTGTGAGATTTAAATGAGAGGGTATACAGGAAGCACTTTGCATACGGGAGGTGCTAAATAAATGGCAGCTATGATGATAAAGGTGACAGGCCACATCTCAGCTGCAGTTCCCCCAAATCTGGCCTTGCTGGAACATAACACAAGATGAGTAAGCCTTTCTGAGCAAGAGTCACTGATGCATTCCGAAGCCCCTCTGTGGCGTGATAGTCTCCCTGGCCTGACAGCCGCCTGCTTCTGGAAGGAAAGGGCTTGCCCTGGCTCTGGGTTAGCTCCTGCTGGGTCTGGCCTCACCCTCACAGGAGAGGTTCTGAAGCCCCGGGGATGCTGCTGACGCCCCATGCAGGCTGCCCAAGCTCATTCTTTCCCCATCTGGCCCTGGCAAGGCCACAAAAAAGAGATTTTTATGTGGAAATTTTTAGCTCAAGTGTGTGGTAAACAGAAGTCTGGCGACCTGGTACTATCCACCAGGGCACAGGCCCCGCCCCTCAAGACTGCCCGTGGTTACTGGGGCATGCAGGGTATGGGAGGTGGAAGCCGCCGAGATGCAGGCATGGCTGGTGGGGTTACGGGATGCACAGGTCTGTCTCGCTTTTATGCCCCAGCTCTAGTTCTGGGCAGCTGTGTGCTGTCAGGATACCTGAATCATAGTTCCTTATGGAAGACTCCAGCCATCCTTCTTTTCTGATTGATGGGTATGTAACTGGCAATGAGCTTCTAGTTTTAATTTCTCAGAATCTGTTCAGTTCTCTTCTGAGTCATTGGTGAGCTGTAAACAAGCAGCTGGGAGCATGCTTAATTAACGCCATCAACTCCTGCCTTATCTAGTTTGTGAGTCCCTGTACTGGGTTTCCCATACAGGGCAGGCCTATGCCCAAAGGGGAGGATCAGCCAAGTTCCCGCCTCCTTGAGCCCCAGGGAGTTTCAGCTGAGAGGCAGAGGGGCTTCCTGGGTCTCCCTGCGCCCCATCCTGGTCAAGACTTTGTTCCTAGTCAACTCTTACCTGACTTCCTGTGCTTGGCCAGGCTGTGGCACCAACTCAAAAGGGTAGGGAGGGCCTCTGTGTTGGGAGGCTAGGGAACCCAGTCCATGACATCTGGACCTGTGTGCACAGGCACACAGACCCCATGGAATACAGAGCTGCATCTTTAGGTGGCCATTAGTCCCTAGGTACCCAAGCCTGGAGAGGATTTTGGATGTGGCAGCTTGTTGTCAGGCTCCCAGCTCCAGGGATGCCTCAGAGGACCTCTAGAAAGTGAGAGGGGAGGGAGTTAAGGGATGGAAAGCTGGGCCTTCTTTAGGAAGTGGGAGAGAGCACTCTGGACTTCACAGCCCAGCAGTAGCTTTTCCCAGCCTGGCTAACCTCTTCAGTGTCTCTCCGTGGGTCTGTGAGTGATCTGTGATAACCCTGCATAGAAGTCAGGGCCACTGAGGATGCTTGATGGGCTTGTGATGCCCCTGGCTGCACCCCCATGCCTGCCTGGGGCTTCCCTTGCCTTGGCGATAGGGATACTGCCCACGAGAGCTCAGCCTTCTCCCTGGACAAGTGGGATGTGGAGCATCTTCCTTCTCCCTTTGTCCGCACACTTACCAGTTACTTGCAGCTTATTGGCTACAACAGCCCTGTGGGTGTGGTGGGGCCCAGGTACTGCCTTGGACCCCGGCTTTCTGCTTCCCGGCCCAGTGTTCTCTGGGCTTCTCCACTGCCTTTCTTTACCCAGGGCTCTATCGTCACCTATTTAGATATCGTCAGCCCTGAAGAGGGAGAAGCCCCTGGCCATTCAGACAAGGGCTATGGAGGGACATATCGGGGCACAGTAGCTCATTCGGGGGCTGACTTTCTTCTGGCCCTTGGCCCATGCCCGTGGGAGTGGTGAGCTCCCATTGAAGGATGAAGGAGTCGCCCTTCTTGGCTTCTCAGTGCAGGAGCCTGGGGAAAAGCCATGTTGTATTGGGAATTGCCCTTCCTTCTGCACAACCCACTTCCACGTTTTCAGTTTGCCCTGAAAGCTTCCAGGCCTCAAGGCGCTATCTATGGCCACGGGGATTTGGACTTTTCCTGGGGATCCTCATGGTATCCCAGGAGCTGGAGCAGCTGCCTCCTATCAGCAGGCCTCACCCCCGACTCCTGCCTAAAGGGGCAGGCTCTCTCCTTGTGAAGGGGCAAGTCGAGAGCCCATGAGAGTGGCTGTGGCATTATCTTGGGGCCCAACAGGTGGACTCAGTGCCCTTCTAGCTTGGAGATCCTCAGGCCCAAGCCACCCCATTTCCTCATCCCAGGAGATGAGCAGGGTGGCTGGGAGGCCATGTGTCTGTTCACTGGTGCATTAAGGCCTCAAAGAGCAGGAAGCACCGACCGTCAGGGGCGAGGGTATAGAACAGCCATGTTGGGATAATCCCGTTTTCCTGGTTTCCCTGTGGTTCAAGATTCCCTCTGTCCATGAATGCTGCTCTGCTCTGAAGTCTGAGGACCTTGGGGTCCAGTTGACGTGCTGGGCATGGTAGCCCGTCCCGTGTGGCAGATGGAGCCCTGGAACAGGAATCCCTCAGACCACATGGCAGAACCTCCTGAAACACAGGACTGGGCTCTGACGAGAAACTCCTTGTGGGTTTTTGCTGTGGGATTAGGAAAGCCCTCACAGCAGAAACCCACAAGGAATTTTCCAGTCCAAACCTTGGAGGGCAGGTTCAGGAAAGCAGATTCAGAGTCTGACCATCAGCACCTGGGAGTCAGCTCCAGTCCTGAGGTTGGGGCAGGCCAGGAGCAGAAAGGAGCATGGGGCTGGGGCTGGATGCACTGTCACCAGGTAGCCTGAATGCAGCTCTGCTTCTGCTGTTCTGCTGGCCACAAAGCTGCCTGCCCATTGTCCCCTCCAGCCTGCCACTCCCTCCCATGCCCAGCAGGGTCCTGTGCCAGGCAACATGAGATGGGAAGGGAAGCTGCTTCTCCCTCACTCCCCCTGCCCCCGCTTTCTTTCTCCTCTCTACTGAATAAGCTTCTAGCAATACCTGGGCTTCAGGAAGTCAGGAAGGGCCTCCCTGGGGCGTAAGTGGGACCTGTATCCTGCAGCAGGACTCGGAAATGGTGGCACATGGGTGTCCCAGATTGCTGAGGAGGGAGGGATGGCCAGCTTATGACCTCTGACACAGTGAGTCCAGCTGTTGGAGGGGCTGCATTAGCCCCAGGGCTACAGGTGTGGGCTGCAGCTCCTCAGTCCCAAAGTGACCCGCACTAGTCCCCTTAATATGCTACGTCCTCCTCTAGCCGCTGGGTTGCATAGCTGGCCTAGGCCTGACTGCCCCTCCCTTAGGCCTGGGTCTGTCTTCCCACCCTCTTCGCCTAGGTAGCTACTCCTGAGCTTCAAGATCCAAGCTCAAATGCCCCTTCTTCAGAGTTGGGGTCCTTATTCTATGCTGTCAGAGCACTATGCACCTTTTCATGCTAGTACTTGCCAAAGTTATAATTTTATACCTATTTGCATCTTAAAATTTTATTTATGAATAGGAAATACTTTCGCATGCTTTAAACATAAATCATTGAATAAACTAAAATGTCTCCAATACGACATCTCTCTTTACTTGTTCCTGATCCACTGTTCCTTTCAAGCTCCGCTGCAGGAAATCATGGTTACCAATTTCTTTTCAGCTGTTTTTTTTGTTTGTTTTTTGGGTTTTTTTTGCACGTAGGCAGAATACGTAATCTGAAATCCCCTCTTTTACACACAAAAGGTGGCATACTATAGAAACGTTTTTTTGCATCTTGCTCTGTAAACAATATTCTCTCTTGGAGAATAGTCCTTTCAGAGAGAGCTGCCTCATCGCTTTCACAGCTGCACAGAATTATTTTATTACTTTTTTTTAAGATGGAGTTTCACTCTTGTTGCCCAGGCTGGAGTGCAATGGTATAATCTCAGCTGATTCCAACATCTATCTCCCAGGTTCAATCAATTCTCCTGCCTCAGACTCCTGAATAGCTGGGATTCCAGGCACCCACCACCACGCCCTGATAATTTTTTTTTTTTTAGTAGAGATGGGGTTTCACCATGTTTGTCAGGCTGGTCTCCAACTACTGACCTCAGGTGATCCACCCGCCTCAGCCTCCCAAAGTGCTGGGATTACAGGTGTGAGCCATTGTGCCTGGCCTTCGGCTGCATAGAATTTGATCAAATGATTGTTTCAGAAATCAGATAGCCAGTTCTTATTTGAAGGAATTAGATGTTTTCTTATTCTTTGCTCTTCTGATTAAGCTTGTACACATGCCATTTTATACTGTGCCAAGTCTACCTGTGTGACAAATGGTGTGTTCAAATGGTACTTGGATTTATAACTTTGAAAATATCACCAAATTACCCTCCATGGGAGCTGTACTGATATATACATTTCCAGCACTGCTACAGCCTTACCAGGAAGGGTGGGAGAGCAAACTTGTGGCTTTTTGTCAGTTTGACAGATGAAAAGTAGGTATCAGTTTTAGCTTTAATTTGCATAGTATGAGTAAGGTTAAGCATCTTTTTCTATAAATTTCCTCTCCTGTGAACTGCTGTTCTTATCCTTTGCTCATTTTTCTTGTAGGTTTTTGATATCAATTTCTAGGAGCTCTTATAAATTAGGAGGATTTAGTTCTTATCTGTGATATGAGTTACGCATGTCCAGGTTATCATTTGTCATTTGGTTTGCTTGTAGGGATATTCCCAGGGTGATACTTTTGATTGAATTGATCAGTCTT